TGTTTCAGCTTGTTATCGAAAGCAACTTAACATTTGACGTCAACTGTGCACGAAGAACGAACTATTATTAATTATTTTATTTTACACTGAAAGGGCCATTATTACATTCGATGTCAACCGAAAAATTCTTGTTTTTTGATGATGCAAATATAAAAATTAAAACAGCTTAGGGCGTTTTTAACACTAAACTAATTACAAATACTAAACACACGTTTATTATTTTTCCAAACGTTTGTGCTTGATAGCGTTTTAATTATTCAAATTTACGAGAAATTCAAACGACGTGTCATGGCAAGTGCAGTACCGGTCAAATTGATTTTACACAAATAAAATCGCGTTAAAATTATACGCACCTTGCAATTCTGAGAGAGCTAAAAAGACGCAAACGGCGAAGATCACCAACTTCATCAAGACGTTCATTTTACAGACACTAGTATGTTAAAGCGAGATAAACTGTCGTGTCTTTGAAGTCATAAGACATCAGGAAAGCGCTCGATTTAGACGAAACATGTAAATTTGTTGGGAATACTATGTAACCACGCCTCATGTTAATAAGAACTAGTGCTTACAAAGATCTCGTGGATTTTATAGGCCAACACTTTTTGATTTTAGATTTTCGTTTTCTTCTTTTTTTCCTTTCAACTACAGGTGTGTTGAGATCTATTTCGTGGTATAAATGTAAGTTGATAATTCAAACGAGGCTTTAGATTTCATTTCAAGGAGCAAGGAACATCCTTCGGAGGAACTTTATCAGTATCTTCGAAGCAGGTCCCTCTCCACCCTCTCTATGTTCAAATAAGGACACTTCCGGCTTTGTTCCGCTTTTTAAGGCTGGAAAGAGAAAACCTTTGGAGTAGGGAGCTGAATAAAGATATAAAAGGCTTTGAAGCAAGGAGCTAAAAAAGGATAGAAGTTCTACCTAAGATCAGAACGCGAATTTTTTACTGTCGACGAAAGCACAAATCAGGTAAGAGCAGTGAAATTACTGAATAAGTTTCTCGGGGAAAACGTCTGCAGTAAGAGGATAGTTTGATCGATTGAAGACATTTAGTTGTGAAAAGGGAAGAGGAATCTAACATCCGCACCCAACGCTTTGGGCCGTTTTTATTGTTTCTCGCGTTTAACCTTTCTTCACTATGCACTGTTCACTTGTTTTTACATCCCTTTTACTAAGTCGATATGCAAGGAAAAAAGCACAGGGATGAACTTGAGTCGGTGAACATGATTACCTCTTAGATTTACCTGGTAACCGAGCTGACAAAAGTGAAATCTATAATGTCACGCTCATTTTCTCTTTCTCATGCGCTCATATGTAGACAATGGTCAACATCGATATCGTTCTCTATCAGTATAGGTGATACTTGCTTCATTTTTCCTTTCCTTTAAGTATATCATGGCTATTTCCTCCTTTGGAGGCGAAGCCATAATGTTGTCCTGTTGAGTAAGTGAGGGTAACAATAGAATACGAACGACCTTCTAGCTCTTGGTTATGCTTGTTTTGGAGCATCTTTGGTCGTTTAATGCTTGGTGAAGATCTCTTTGGATCGCTTCGAATGGTATACTCGGAATTAGCATGTGACCACACTGTTTCCGGTGCTACTTGTTGTTTGTTTCGGAGTACTACGGAAGACAATAAACATCCCACAATCATTTCAGGATGGTGCGTGAAAAAACAAAGCTTTACCTTGTAGAAATGTCTTTAAAGGTGTCATCGGGGCATCATGAAAATTTGAATGAAAATTTTTTTCTTTAAGGAGAGAGGATTTTACCGTTTGAATCAGCGAATTATGCCCAGTAATTGCGAAGATATATTTTTTCCAGTTCTTACCGTGATACCACAAAAGATATTAAACTTCTCAAAGTAATTTCACAGTGGCGACTCCGAAAAAAATATTTTTACGTGCGGAAAATATCTAAATATTATGTTTATTCGAAAACGGTGCATTTTACCATTTCAATCAGCGACAATTGCTCAAAAGAGCCACTAAATTTGCGAAACGAGCAATACCTTGAGTTTAACACGGTGACCCTATTTGATAGAACGATGGAACGGTGGAATTATTTATAATTGACTGAAGAAATTAAAATTAAAAGAAGTCTAGTTTAATCATTATTGGAGCCTAGAGGATAGATCGATAGAGGAACACTAAGGTTTTTGAGCTAGTCCTTATAAGTTATCATTATTATTACAGTACTATTATTGTCATTATTATTATTATTATTATTATTGTCATTATTATTATTATTGTCATTATTATTATTATTGTCATTATTAGTATCATCATATTTGTATTGCTGAGATTATTTGTGACCATCTTATGATTGGTTGAGTGTCAATTAGTCACTATATTCTTGAATCATCTTTCTCTTGTGGAACACGGTTCTCGTAAATATGTGAGATGCGGCAGTAGTAGCCATACGCAGTCTGAACTGCCGGTTTTTTCTCTTGTCAGAAAGATGCCGTTGGAAACGCTGTCTCTGAAATGTCCTTGTGGCTACATAAAACATGACGTAATGTGCTTAGGTCTTTGGCAAGACAGCAATCGGCGACTCTTACAGTTTTGTGGCGGGCTTTTCATTCTTAACTCTAGTGGCGATGGTGTGACGTGCCGGAAGTGCAGCACTACAACAAAGATGATAGAATTCCACTGCTCGTTCTGTGACAGAGTAACTCATATTGGTGTGCAATATCGATTTAAGGTGAATACAGAACGGGCTGTGCACATGCAGATTGCAGTACACAAAGCTGTGGTTTTTTCCAACTAACTCGGAACCCCACTTGGGTCATAAGCGTAAAGTAATTAACAATTACTGGATGAGGTTGAGCATGATAGCGATAATTATCAAGGCCAAAGTTTGTGTTATCTGCCGAAGACGAAGTCTGAGGTGGATAACCCAGAATGAGGCCTTGATAATTGTCGCTATCGTGCGAAAACCAAATCCAATAATTGTTTTATTATGCATATTCCTGAGCTGCACTTGTAAAGACAAGAGCGCGTAAAACTATTGTCTGTAGGTATGACGTCACTTCTACATATATGAGATCTATTGTCTGTAGGTATGACGTCACTTCTACATATATGAGATCTATTGTCTGTAGGTATCGTGTAAGAGAATGTATAATAATCAATATTGTACCGCAAGATCTAAGTTTAATTGCGAAACATGCGAATCAACTGAAAATTCTTGTCATCTGGGTACTTGCCGTTATGATCGTCCAAGTTATCATTGTAACGTTATGAATTGTCTAGTACACTCTTGAATTTTGAATTAAAAGTTAGCTTTTATTTGTGATTTGCCTTTCCTGATCCAACTAATTCGTAGACACCGAGGGAACCAAGAAGGCTGTAACAACCCCCTCCCCCAAACCCTGCACGCAGCTGGCACTCATTTTTGGTGTTGCGACACGAGCTGCAAAGCCTGCGAGATTCGAGCCGGTAGAGAAGTCAATAAGGGACTTGGCACTAAGAATGAACCCTCGTGGATTTCTCGTGCGTTCACATCGCTCGCCGGCTAGAAACGCGTGGGCTCGCCGCTCGTCTCGCGCGGCGCCAATCACAGCCTATTCGCAAGTTGCCCCCCTTTGGTTAGCGTAGGAACGAAATTAAAATGACATTCTTAATAGCAAAGATGCCACCAGACTTTCATCTTAGTTTTGGCATGATTGCAAGTAGGACGCGCGTGTGCCTCGTCACTTGCGCTTGCTGGTCTAGATTGTCTGTTCCTACTCAACTGAAGCGCGTGCAACGTACGACGTCCTTAATAAATCGCTGTCCCGCCGTGCCTACCATCTTCAACCCATTGCACTTTAAACTGTGAAGAGCCACTCGAAAACCACCCCCCTTCTATTGTACGATAAAAGCACGGCGTTTAATTCACCTGCTCTTACACAATTCATTCAATACACGATTATGTGGTATTCTTTTGTGAAGCTCTGATCATCAAGCCTAGTCACTTTCCATATTTTAATTTTTAATTCATTAGATTCGCCGAAAGACAGGGACACCGCAACAGCTTGCGCCAATTACTGCGGGCCCAGTAAACCCNNTTGTAATAGTAAGAAATTTATTGTGTTGAGTAGTAAAATGAGTGGCGAATCCTCAGGATGCACGACTATGACAAAAGGATAAAAATGAAAACAAATTGCTTACTTAAATGGGCTTTTTTAAAAATTATACCATTTACACTGGTTGGTTTAAAAACCAGTTTAACGGCTTGTTGAGCGCACATAAATAGTTGGAAGAGTACAGAATATACAACATAGAGATGTATTCGAGGAAGATGAACTTCAGTTGCAGCGAAATTCAACTGAGTGTCCCTATGACAAAACCAGCACCCGAGTAATCTTCAAGGCCGATCAAAAGAAAGTCTATTCCCAGCGTTCAGTTGGCGAAACGGAGCAGAATAGTAAACGGCGCCAAAGTAGCGGAGGACAGAAAAGGCGAGAGAGATTTGGGTCGGGCCGAATAAAGAACAGCTGAGTAAGGACTGGAACCTATTATTTCCGTTCATATATCTTTCATATAGACCTTCACCGAAAAATTTTTATTCATTTCCAGTCCTTACTCGGAAAGCTGATTTTGGAGTATCTATTTAAGTCACAACAAAATAACATCACTGTTCATTACCTGACCCAAACTTCCCTCGAGTTTTTGGTTCCTCTGCTATTGTTGCGCTGTTTATAATCGCGCTTCGTTTGACCGACTGAACACCTCGAACAGTTTAACTCGCTTGAAGCACGACAAAAAGTAAGAAGGAAAGTCACGTCTGTTATAAATTGGTTAGGAAAGTAGCGCTAGTTAGGATTTGTACACCAATCACATAGCAGAGTTCTGTAAAAGCTATACATTCTCTGATCACCTTCGGCACTCAGTTGTAAAATAGCTCCAAGCCCGAAGTTAGGGCTAACCTAAGCATTTAAAATTGCGTGATTGTAGGTAAACAAAGTGTGACTGCCGCATTTTCAACATAGTCTGGGACAACTCACGCCAAGACCTTCGTCACGTCAAAATACATTTGGATATAAGTATCAACTGCTGTTGTACATCAAATGTTCAAAAACTAAACTTAGAAATGTCTATATACACGGTAAACACAGTTCTGCAGGCCAGCGTTCCATCCATATAGTGCAGATCTGCAGTGACTTGCAACTGATGAATATCCGCTTTTTCCAGCTTGTGTTTTGTGTAGATCACTGCCTCGTTTCCAAGCATCCTGATACCGAACGGAGAGGGCTGGGTTGAGAACACATACTGAAACTGGCAGTAATAACGAAGCGAAGCCATGTATGGCGGGAAAAATGGGATCAGACGAGCAACGTCAGTATTGGCGGGAAATCCAAGCGGTAGTGTAAACACTTCCTGACGCGTTGCTTGAGCCGTGCAGTAATAGCCTGGGGTCGAACATTGATTTACGCAGAACCTGAAGTAGAAAAAGACATCTTCTAAATAACAATGTTTGATCCCGAAAACTCAGACAAATTAAGGAAAACAACAAGATTATTAAGGCCGGTACAAAGCCGACTTCTTAGGGAGTATACGGAATGTAGGTAATTCCCATTGAAGGTCGATACCTGATCGGAAAATGAGGCTAAAACGATCGGAAACCTTCGGGAAAAGCTCGGGTTACTTACCCGCTTCTAACGTTGTTATAATACCGTGGACATGAAGAAGGTAGACATTGATAACTGCCTCTCGTGTTATAACACTGATTCTGATTGCAAGGTCCACCCGTCAGCGCACATTCATCAACATCTAATGAATCGACAAAAAGGCGAAGTTAACTGATACCTTAATTAACTAAAAGATAGTAAAAACCTCTGCGTTATAAATTCATGTTACCTACAATAGCGCGATCTTTACTCTCAATAGTTTGGTGTAAAAAAATAATACAAAAACCTGGCATAGCTAAGTTATGCCTCAGTGAAACAGAAAGGGGCCCTCTTAGCGAGAGCTTAATTGAGTCCATAGGCATTACTTTAAGTTCTATCATCTACAAACTATCAGCAGCGGACAAAATCTCTTTGAAACGAAGACAGAAAACGTCTTGAAAGTTTAAGGAAGAGGAAAGGAAAGCCGGAAAAAGGAATTAACTTCAAAACATTGCGTTCTTTGTAGCTCAAGGAAAAGCGACATTCATTTCGCGTCAAATTAAATTTTCGGGCGAGGCTCGACTCAAAAAAATAGAGACAAAAATTAAAAATAAAGAGTGTTCGCGAAATGACTCAGTAATAAATGGCGGATCAGTTTACCTTGACACTTCTTGCCGTCAGCACTGAGATGATAACCAACCGGGCATTGACATCTGTAACCTCCGAGTGTGTTTATACAGGCATACTGGCAGGAGTTGGTGCTGTTGGATGAACATTCATCCACATCTGGCAAAGTAAGATGAGACAAATGTAACAATAATTAGCAAAACATTTCTTATAACTTCGTATAGTTTATAACCTAACTTCGAGTGTCAGTTCACAAAAACAAACGCCGTGATATTTTCAGCTTTCAGGATGTCTCTTCCTTCCCCCTCTATTTCTGTTTGTTTTCAGGCAGTCACCCTTCTAACTCGAAATTAATTGGATAATCTGTTAATTCGTACCTATACAATCTTGCTTGTTGTCAGCGAGTCGGTATCCACGCGAGCAGGAACACTTGAACCCTTGCGCAGTAAAGTCACACTGTTGTTCACACTTTAAATTTTCAAGGGCGCAACCGTCCACACCTGGGAAACAAGTTTGTACCCACAGGATAAAAAAGAAAAAAAACTTGGTATCCACTTGCGTAAAAACAATTGAAAAAAAAAACAAAACAAAACGCAAAACAAGAAAGGTGCTTTATGGTGCTGTCACGAGCGCGGTACAAGGAAAAAAAATCCCGAATGCTCATGGGGAATCGTTCTGATCTATGAATTCTGCGCTCTGACGCTCTACCACGGAGAAACTGAGACTCTATGGTGAACTGGACCATTATTAGATTCATATGTAATAATAATAATAATAATAATAATAATAATAATAACAACGCCTCTATTTAGACACGATAATGTTTAAAGCTGAACAGCTTGTGGGGTCGTGTGTAAATGCAAATAAACTCTAAATTAAATAAATTCAAATGATGATGTAACGCGTCCTGCATACCGCTAGGTTCAGCAATATCAAAAGCCTCGGCTGTATTTATAAAATAAGAAAGAGAGTGAACTCATTTGAATTCAAACGAAGTTAGTGATGATACCAGAGTTGACCAAGGGTTGTTTAGACACTTACCTGAGCAGGTTCGTTGATCGGGATTAAGGATACCGCCACCGGGGCATCGGCACTCGAAACTGCCGATAGTGTTAACACACTGGTGCTCACAAATACCTTGAAACTGTTTACATTCATCCACATCTACAATGAAATGGTTGGTTAGTTAATATGTTTAATCGTTATTGTACTGTAGCTGCTTCAAGACTGTGGAATAAAGCTCTAACGGAGATTTCTCTTCTAGTGTTTTTTTTTTGTGTGTA